TAAAAGGTTTGTTGACAGACTTGGGATTTGAACATGTGAAATTTTTTTTTGCACAATGATAGTCAAAGTGTGATACATCTGGCAAAGAATTCAGCATTTCATTTAAGGACCAAGTATATAGGACTTCAGTATTACTTCGTGATTGTTTGTTTATTCCTTGAACAGTGTTGTTTATTTTGCGTTTCCGCCACAACAATTGGTATCAAATCCGGTTGATTGTGCAGAGCAACTCCAACACTATTTTGCCGACCGCAAATCTGCCACTGTTTAGTTCTTCACCACCACTGGATTCCATTCATATAGTTTTCGAGTTGGGTTTCGTTACTTGAAATGTTACCTATTAAAAAAAATTGACCCAGAAATTGTTGGAGATAACCAGACTTTCTCAAGCATGATGATAGTAAAACACTGATGTCAACTTCTTCAACATGACAACCCAAGCAAAATATAGACTTTGAGGCATGTATTCACTTTCCTTAAAGTGTTATTTGCTCCCACTCAAATTGAGTTTGCTAACGGGTTCTGTAGCAAAACACTCCCAGGATACAACAAAGTCCGAATTCCTATAGTTAGCAATACTGAAGGAATTCCCTAAACACTCGTTTTAATACCCCTAATTTTAAAAGGATAGTCTCGGTATTTTTTTTATGATTTATTGCATTTTTAAATTCATTATTTGATTATTTGGCTATTTGTGTAATTGTTTAATTATTTAAATTGACTTATTCATTTTAATTGAAATTATATGCTTATGTGAATTTGAACTAATTGTTTTATTTTAAAAAGGAGTTGGGCTTGGACAGTAGTCATGGATCGACTGTTTGGGTCTCATAGACTACTTGGATAGGAGATTAAATGGGTACAGTTGTTATCCATGGATGGTTATACATATATATATGGGTATATATGTATATAGGGTTAATTTAATTATTAATTATTATTAGTATCATTATTGAGTATGTATGTATTATATAGTTTAGGGTTTTATATATTTATTTATCTGATATCACGTATAGGACATTATATGTGTATGTAATTATATATATATTTTTAATTTTCTTTTCTTTTCTTTTATGTTAGCCGACTTAATATCGGGTTGGGATTAGGGTTTGTATAAACCTATATATATGTAAGGTTGTGTCCGCCAAGGGTTTTTGAACCCTATTCACGTAACAGTGGAGACAGAGAGAAAGAACAAAGAGTTGAGAGAGAGAATCGTGGGGAGAGAAGGGAGAACCAAGGGAAAAAGGAATAGGGTCTGCTTGTGGGGTAGAACCAGCGTAGTATAAGGCTTGACGATAATCAGAAGTCGCTTAAAAATCTAGGAAGACGACGTTGAGATTTTAATTCGAAATCTCAAAGGCAAGTTCTATATCTTACTCTTTCCCTTAGACTTGTGTTCTGTGCATGCCTAGGTTAATTCCAGGATTAATCAGAGATTAAATTGATCATGTCTACATGCTTAAATTGATTTAAAACTGTTCTTATGTGTTGTTCATGTGTTCTTGATTATTTTAAATTTTATTATATGCAAGCTTGATTTAATCTATGTTTGAGATGCATATCAAATGTATAAAATTATTTGGAATGATGTGGGACATAGTTCAGACTCTTAGAACCATCAACAATGGAGAACAAAGGGATTGGAACTCGTCAGAGACGAGGAAGATAACGCAAAATAGGTTGAGAGCTGGCTCCCAAGGGGTGAGAGCTGGCTCCCAAAAGAAATTTGTACGGCTCTCAGAAGAGAGAGCCGGCTCCATGGAGAAGGGAGTAGGCTCCCTTGTTGGAAACCCTACATGAATGGGTTCTGGCTACTGTTTTAGGTAATTGGGGTCTTCTGAAGTGACTTAGACTGTTGTGGGGGTTTTAAATGGCTACACTGAACATTGTTAAAATCCCAGAATGCTTAAATCTATACCTTTATGTGATGGAAGTAATCAATATGAAATTACAGTTAAATTTGCGTGTTGATTTAATGATTAATTCATGGTTGAAATTGTTCTAAGAAATTTCATAGATATTATATAATGTTTATTATGTATTAGCAGTAATAAATTCAGTTAATTGTCTAACTGTTATTATACTTATCTCTGGATGTAATTGATGATTGTATTGCATAATTATGTCGTCAATTATTGGATTGTTTTGTGGATTATATGAACCGGTATGGGACGGTGGCATATTAGGAATGGATTAGTTCAAAACACTAAGTCCTACCTATTCTGGAATAAGGGAGTGGATTAACTATAAAAGTTAAGTCCTACTTATATTCATGTCTGGTCAACGAATAGTTGAATGACATTACTTTCGTTTTGGATGGATTTATATATATATATATATATATATATATATATATATATGATTATGGTACTACGATATGAGCTTGAGTCTCAGGATCGATGGTTAGGGAGCGTATATCCAGTGGGATGCATAGCTGGTTATGATGGTAGAGGTGTACCCTGTTAGGTCTAGGTACTCATGCCCACTTCAGGTGCGTTTTGCATATTGCCTACTAGTCAGGTTGAGACCGCCTTGTAGTCTAGTGAGATTCTCTTAGTATGGATATATAAGAATATCATGAGCAGTGGACTATCATAAGTCCTCTGCAAAACTTGAACAACAAGTTTCTGAAAATCCCACCAAGGACAATGAGACTTACATCAACCTTCTGACCCAGATAACATTTCAGAAATGGCATGTTAATCTAAAAATTGTCATCAACAAAGACTATACCATTCATACAGTGGCTCTTATTGACTCCGGTGCTGATCTCAATTGTATCAATGAAGGACTTGTCCCTACGAAATGCTTTGAGAAAACCAAAGAACGACTTCAAGGTGCTAATGGTTCACGACTCACTGTTCAGTACAAGTTAACCAAAGCCCATGTTTGTAATCAGGGTCTTTGTATTAAAATACCTTTCATCCTTGTCAAAAACCTCAATACCCCTGTTATTTTGGGAACTCCATTTATTTCTCTTCTTTACCCGTTCAAAGTTGATAGCCAAGGCATTTCAACAAGTCTAGTTAGACAAGAAATTTGCTTTCCTTTTGCTCATCCTATAGACACCAAGGATCTCAATACCATTAAGGATTCCAATGTTACTCAGGTCCCTGCTGTCAACAGGATTGAGAGCAAAACAAAGCATTTAAACTTTCTCAAACAAGAACTAATCTTCAAACAGATTGATAAACAACTCAGTCAAAAAAGTCTCCAAGACTCTATTCAAAGGTTCAGATTAAGACTTGAAAGTCAGGTTTGCTCTGATCTCCCAAACGCTTTTCGGCACAGAAGACAACACATTGTTGAATTACCTTATGAAAAATCTTTCAATGAAAAGGATATCCCTACCAAAGCCCATCCTAGCCAAATGAGTAAAAAACTTCTTGATTATTGTATGAAGGAAGTACAGGAATTATTGAACAAATCCCTCATCCGAAAAAGCCGATCCCCATGGAGCTGTGCCGCTTTCTATATCCAAAAGAATGCTGAAATAGAAAGAGGTGTTCCCAGATTAGTTATCAATTATAAGCCCCTCAATGAAGTTCTTCAATGGATCAGGTATCCCCTGCCTAATAAAAAGGACCTAATCCAACGTCTCGTTCATGCAACCGTTTTTTCAAAGTTTGATCTCAAGTCAGGATTCTGGCAAATACAAATTGCTGAAAAAGATAGATACAAAACAGCTTTCACGGTTCCTTTTGGCCACTACGAATGGAATGTGATGCCTTTTGGATTAAAAAATGGCCCTTCAGAATTCCAAAAAATTATGAATGATATTTTTATTCATCTTACAAATTTTTCAATTATTTATATTGATGATATACTAATATTTTCTTCTTCTATAGATGCTTATTGGAAACATCTCAATGTATTTGCTCAAACCATCAAGCATAATGGATTAGTCCCTTCTTTATCAAAGTTAACCTTATTTCAGACCAAGATTAGGTTCTTAGGTTTTCAGATCCACCAAGGAACTGTCATCCCAATCAACAGATCCATCCAATTTGCTGATAAATTCCCTGATGAAATTAAAGACAAAACCCAGCTTCAAAGATTTTTAGGGTGCCTAAATTATCTTTCTGAGTTTTTCAAGGATCTTTATCTTCTTTGTGCTCCACTACGCCAAATATTAAAAAAGTCCCCTCCCCTATGGTCCGATGAGCATACAAAAACAGTCAGAATCCTTAAAAGCAAAGCAAAAAACCTTCCTTGCCTATCTATTGCTGATCAAGAAGCCTTCAAAATTGTGGAAACTGATGCCTCTGAATTAGGATATGGAGGTATCCTAAAACAAAAAATAGGTGATAAGGAACAACTAGTTCAGTTCGCCTCTGGCACATGGAACCAAGCACAACAAAATTACAAACCAATTTTCAGCCCTAACCACAATTCCCTAACATGTCATAGACATGTCCCCAATCCACTATGACCCCATCCAAACATACTTACAATCCCAACAACCAGTTTTTCCTCCCCTTCAAAAAACTTATGCTACAATTTCTTCAGCATCAGATAAACAAATTTCCTCAAGATTTGTTTCACAGCAAGTGGTGGTCAACAATCCTACTCTAAAAAAATCTCGTTATTTTCAAAAATCAAATTCATCAACCATTTGTGTGGTTGAAAAGAACTTTTTAACCAAAACCCAATTTTACTATCTCAAAATCATTTTATCAAAGGTTTTCATTATCCAACATCAGATTTTCGGAAAACACAAAATTTTTATGAGTTTATTTTAGTGGACACCGATTCCATCAAAATTTGAACTCATTCAAAACCAGGTGATGAGTCTTTCATTTCTCACACCACATGTACCATTCAAAAAGTCCTTACTCCGGCAGCCTGGGGTAAAAATATCAAAGCTCCGAGGCAATTTTCTATCTATTTTTCTCAGAGGAGAGATATTTATCTGCAAAAGAGGGTTTTTTCTTGTTATACCGTGACCTGTTTTCGTATCTTTTGGGAAAAGGCTTTCGGTAGCGGGTGTGACTTTTTCATTTGGAAGGAGGGGTTAGGTTTTCGAAGCCGAATTGTTGGCAAAAAGTTCCTAATTCCTTTCTGCTAGTGGCATTCTCATGCTTGATTTGTTGTTGGAGTTTGAAATAGGTGCAGAGAGCAATTCCTTCAGCTGTGATGGTACTGATGATGTCACCATAGGTGAGGGAGTCATAAGGAATATGGCCATTGTGTTTTGATCTGAATTGCTTGCGAATTATCTCAGCAAAAAGATTGGGGAGTCCAGCAATGAACTTTTCTTTCCAAAAGGCTTGGTTACAATCAGTCCTAGTGAGGACCTTTGAGAGGAAGACATCCTTGTACCATCTGAAATCCTGAAGTTTGCGACATCGAAGGTTGGCTAGAATTTCTGAGGTCTTGTCTCTAACAATTGAGAGGTCACTGAGGAATTGTTTGGCGATAGAGAAAATGAGAGTAGCAACTGCATCTTCTATATCTGCACCTTCTTCTATTTTGATAATTGTTCCTTCAGGAGTTGTTTTGACAGAGTTAAGAATGACTTATCATTTATCTGGAGTGAGGATGTTGTCCCACCATCCTTTGAGTTGGCCTGTGAATCCTCCTACTAGGGGTTGTGCTATAGCATGATCAGAAGAGTCATTCTTGGTTTTGTAAGCAGTGCTGACCATTGTTATTTTTTGAAGTGTATTGAGAATGTGATACTCAGTTTTGCCATCTATGTTCCATTCATAAATGGTACCACCATGATAAGCAGCTTGGGAAAACTGGCCTCGTTCTTCGATCTGGAGGTCAGGGAAAGTTGGCCTGGGATAGTAGTTTCGAGAAGAAGTTGGTTCTAAAGTATTAACGTGTTGGTTCTGGAAGACCTCAGTAATTTCATCAATTTTAGTATCAGTACCAATTTCTTGGTCAAGAGTATTGATGACTCTAAGAGGTCTTTCAGGCGTATCAGGAATCGTAGTTGTGGAGGTCATAAAGGATTCGATACGCTTAATCCTGTCCTATGCTTCTTCAATGGCACTACGTTTTGATAGTTGTTTAGACAAGTGTAAGGGGATTTCATGGGGTATGAAAGGGGGAGCATTATCAGATTGAATGAGGATAATTTGTTCTTTCTGAAGCAATGTTTCCACACGAGAAAGCTGATCGCCAAGTGTCTGGAGGTGTTGGTTTGTGTAGTTAGTTTGTTCCATGATGCTTCGGACATCACGGGTCGTGGATGTGGTATTGTCGTTGGCGACTGCCTTTGTCTTGAAAGGAGAAACAGTAAGTGTGACTGTTCCTGACGCCTTTATCTTGAATTCGATTGCCTCAGCTGGGGGATGGATGGCTTCAAGAGCCTCACCACGTGATGTTTGCCAGGTAATGGTGGATTTGGTTGTGACATTTAAGGATTTGATTGTGGAGAAAGGAAAATCAATATTGTTGTCGAGACAATATTTTTCAAACCATGTGAAGAAAGGGGCTGAGAACTTGATTTCTATGCAGAAAGCATACCACTCTTCTCTAATAAGGATGGTTTTTTGAGCAGAAAAGGTTTGGAAATACCATTGTCTTTTGGAATCATTGATCGCAGAGTAGAAATCTTTGCGTAAGAAGTCTTTATCGATCTTATAAACCTTTTCTATCATGTAAAGCTGATGAACCTGATGATCGGGATCTTCAAATTGAGAATCATTTGGGGATGGAGTGGAATTATGATGATCTTCGTTTAGGGGAGGGTTTTGCAGACCTTTGTTTTGAGAATTAATTTGGGTAGGTAAAGGAGTACTGCGAAGAGGATTGATGTCTTCTTCCTCAGTTTGGATACCTTGTAAGCGTTACTGAAAATGATTTTTGGGAAGTGGCTTTTGAATAGTTTGTATGAGTAGCATGAGAAAAAGAGGATCTAGGTCTTTCTATTTCTTGAATAATTTAGAAAACAATTGAAGTATTGTGGGCCATCAAAAAGACTAGTTTGGCAAACTCCTAACAAAGAGGTTTCAAAATCGAGATGCCTACAATCCCTTAGAGTAAGCATGATAGTAGTGTTAAGTCCCCTTGAGGTAAGAGGTTTAACTGCAACTTGGACAAGCCCTATATGTAGGAATTTGTACTTCTTTTTATGTTCTACTATGGCTCTTTTTTGCAAAAGTTGGATGACTTCAAAAGGGTTTTTGAGAGAAATAGTTTGTTCAACAGTTTTGATGGAGTATCCTATTTTGAGGTTGAAAGTCGAAGATTTGTAAATATCCCTAATGGGAACCTTGGGTATATTCCAAGTATCCCATTTATCATTCTGACCACTATCAATATGCTGTTCTTCTTGGTTAACAATCACTCTTCCTCCAAGAGGAGCTGACGATGCCGAAGACATGTTACGGTTGAAAAAACTCATTGAACCTTACCTAAATGACCGTCCGTCCGACCAAACCAAAGCGGCACACCTAGCCTAAACGGGATCCAGGTCCGGAAACAGAAATGTAGAAAGGTTAAATGGGCTTAATCACCACCTGATGGCTCTGATACCATAAACACCCAGGATAAATAACTGATAATGAACTATGAGAGAAACAAAATATTGAAAAGGTTAAATAATCAACGAAATAATGAAATAAAATATAGAAATATGCAAGTTAATAATAAACAACAGAACATGAATAACTTTGAAGAACTTTTGATTAAAACATGGAACTTACAACTTTGATCTTTGAATACAACACTTTTGTTCTGAGCCGAGCTCCTTGGATGAAGTAAAACTAAAAACTTAAACTTAAAAATTACAATTTGAACTGAGAACTTTTGAAATGGAAACTAAGAACTAAACTTGAAATGAGCCTTCCTTCAATGTCTTGAGGTGCTGTTATTTATAGGGCCTCGAAGGAGCCTAGGGGAGCTTTGGATTCCTTGGTGATAAGGATGCAGCAGGAGGCCATGTGCAAAGCCTGAAAGGCTGATTTGAGGTGATGTCTTCTGAATGATGCTGGAGGTCATGTGCAAAGCTTGAAAGGCTGAATTGAGGTGATGGCCACTGACTTGCCTTGGATTCCTTTTTTGAAATGCTTGTCTGTCATGAGCACCGAAAGGTGCTAAAAGCCTGAAAATGGAGAATTGTTAAATAAAATTTTAAACTGTAGATTTCGCCTCTTTTTTTTTTTTTTTTGGTCGCTATGCAGCGGCATTGAATGACCGAAGTCAGAAACTTTTTTGAAATGAAATGATGATTTTTGAGAATATTGTTTAGTGGAGCTGTTGGGTAAAAATACCAAAACAGTCATCTTCATTGGGTTGGGCCAGATCTGTTTGGGAACTATGGAAAGAACCTGAGCCTTCACTTCTGTTGGAGCCTATTTTTGAGAAGGCTATGGGATTGACTTGGGCTAAAGCTTCCATGAGGAAGGCTTCATACTCATTTTGGGATTTTGCTGAAGAAAGCTTTGCTTGGGCCTGGCTTTTGGATAGGAGGAAAGCCGAAGCTCTCTTAAGCCAGAATATGATATTGCAGGGTGCTTTGAGAACCATTATGAAATTGCTTCTGGAGTAACATCTTTGATAGAGAATTGGTCCTACCATTTGACTTTGAAAATCCTTCCTAGAAGAGGAAGATTAGAAGGGGTTTTGAGGATTTCGAATTGCCATAGAACTATCCATGACAATGCGAAATTTGCAAAAAATAAGAATGATTTGGGAAATTCGAAAAACTCAGGAGGAGCTTAGAATTTTTCATTGAAAATTGAAAATCCCTTGGACACCGTTTCAGGGATAATTTCTTGGCAGGGACCAAACATATGCCACCAGTCAATGAACCATCTGGGGACATTTAGATTGAAATTCTTTTGGAAAAGGATAAGCCAGGAATGGCTATAATCCTGATTTTGGAAATAAAAGGTATTGTACCAGACATCCTGGTACAATACCTTTTAGTTATTGTTGAGTTGTCTAGGATGTATCTGCGTATTTGGTCTCTGTTTGGATTGTAGTTAGAGTAGAACTTGCTCGTGGGGCTAACCCACTATTATTATTTTTCTTAGGTATTCGACAGTTTCAGTCTTAGAGCTTGATCGTGTTGAGCAGAAACAGTCACTCACTCCTCCGACTACGTAGGACTATTACTTATGTTTTAGTTGTTGGTTTTCCTTTCTAGCTCAGTTATTTACTGGGATGTTATTAGGGGTCCACAAGATGGATTCCCGAGTTGTAATAATATTGGAGGTTTTGGCAATATTGAATTATATAATTTTAAGGATTAGTATTTAGATTTCTTTCAGCTTATTTAATTATTTATTCTTTAAATTCTTTTGTACTCATGCTTGTTTATATACTTAATTGTTTGGTATCTCTCGAGTCTGTGCTCGGACTTGATCACCCGTTGCTCTAGAATCGAGAGGTATCTTAGTTAGTATCAGAGCACTCTAGGTTCAGTGTCTCTAGGGTTATTTAGTAATAAGACTTCCGCATAGCGTATTCTCTTGTTTAGAGCTAAAGTTTAGGATTCGTTGTATTCCTTTACGGTCCGTTTAAATCGTACTGATGTCTGTCTTTCTGTGTTAACAGAATGGTTAATGTTAGAAGAGGACATAATATGCAAGGAAACAGGCAGCAAAGGAAAGCGACATGTAGGCAGCAATATCTCCTATGGCGTCAGCAAATGGAGGAAGAGCAGCAATTGGCTGGGATTTGGGTCAATGGTGGTCAACTGCAAGTAGAGCAGGAGGAAGTTCAGCAGACTCAGGATCAGGGAAGAGATCCATAATATCCTCCTCATCTTAATGACCTCATTACTCGGGCTATAGAAGTAGGTGTGACAGTTGCACCTCGGAATCAACCACAAGTTCAGCAGGCACCTATACCAGCACTAGTGGTTCAGACTGATCCTTGGGGAAAGGCTAGGAGTTCTTTCACAAAAGGGAGCCCACCTGAGTTTACAGGCTCCACCAATACGAAAGCAGCTCACCAGTGGAAGAAGGATATTTAGCGGCATCTTCGAATGGTTCAGTGCACAGAAGTTTAGAAGCAGATGTTTGTTACCTTCAAGCTTGTCAGAGATGCACTCTAGTGGTGGGAGTCAGTTACCACCGTAGAGGAGAGGACTTCATTAACCTATAATCAGTGCTGGTTTCGATGAGAAGTACTTTCCATATGCAGTCAGGCTAGCTATGAAGACAGAGTTCTTTATCTAGATTAGGGGAACATGATAGTGGCAGAGTATGAGCAGCAGTTCATGCGCTTATCTCTTTTTGCTCCAAAGGAGGTGGATACAGAGGAGAAGAAACGTAATAGTTTCGTTAAGGGACTTATGTGATCTATTAAGTGAATTACAGGTAGTCCAGCCTATACTACTTATGCTCAGGTGGTAGACACCGCTTTACAGCAGTGTCAGTTGACCGTGGATTTCAGACAGGCTAGGGGTAAGAAGCGGGGTGACAGAGACTCTGCTAATCAGTTAGCTGAGAAAGGGAGTGGCAATGGACACCGGCATAGTGATAAAGGCAAATTCCAGGGACAGCAGTCTTGGAAGAAGCACAAGGGTTGTTTAGATGCTCACAGGAATGGGGTACCTGTTCAAAGGCAGCAGGATAGGGGACTACAGGCAGAACAGGGTCAGCCACAGGCTAACCGACAGAGGAGGCCATTTGGCACTTTCCAAGGTAGCTGTTACACTTGTGGAGAGTTTAGTCATACTTCCAGGCAGTATCCTGAAATAGGACAGGGACAAGGACAGTGTGTGCAGCAGGGACAGAGGGTACCATTACATTTACCCGCTCCACAGATTCAATGGATTCAGGAACAGACATATTCGGCTTTACCAGCACCACCATAGCCTCGGGGATAGGCACCGCAGCAGTTGTATTATGGCAGGGTATATAACCCCATGCCACAGGATGGTCAGGCACCTCAGGCTGTAGAGGGTATGTTTCCTATTCATGCTACACATGGTCGTGTTTTATTTAATACGGGTGCTACACATTCATTCATGTCTAAATCATTTGTTGCA